ATGGAGGTGCTGGAGTGTGCCCCAGGAAGGGCAAAGAAGCTGGTGAGTGGTCGAGAGCACAAGTCTTAGAAGGAGTGGCTGAGGGAGCTGGTGGTGTTTGGTCTGGAGAAAAGGAGGAGGAGGGGAGCTGTGTGGACGTGGCGCTTTGGGACACAGTATGGAGGTGGAGTTAGCAGTGTTGTATTTGCGGTTAGATTCGATGATCTGAAGGATCTTTTCCAACCTAAATGATTCTATGGTTCTACTATTCGATGATTAAACTTAAGGTTGCCCTGTGTGGAGTCAGGGGTTGGACTCAGCGATCCTCATGGATCCCTTCCAACTCAGGATATTCTATGATTAGGAGATCCCGAGTGGCAGGCAGGTGATAACATCTCCAGAATGAAGCATCAAGCAAGCTCCTGTGAAGAACGTCACAGGGGACGCGTCACAGTGGGGTGGATATCGAAGGGTACCAGCCAGCAGCACGGCCCCAGTCCAGCCTTGGCCAGCAGTGAGTACGCTTTCCAGGGGAGGCTGGGCTGGGCAAGGGCCGGGGCAGGAACGCAGGGCTCCGCGGCTGGGTTCTCAGCCTGCGTTGAGGGCCCAGGCGCTGGTGGGAGCGCCTTGGGCAGGGCACAGCACTGGCAGCAGCGGGGCTGGGTGCCGGCCTTGCTGCCTCCCAGCTGCATCAGCCCCTCTCCTACCTGTCCCCAGCTCCCTGTGTCTCCTGTCCCCACTCCCTCACTCCCAGATATGCTGAACTCCTTCTCTCCCTCCTCCCACAGACCATGGCAAAGTTCTTTGCTGGGCTTTTTCATCAGGCACTCGTCGTTGGTGAGAGTCTGGATGAGGCCACACACGAACGCATGCAGCACCGTGACCGCTATCTGAGCCGGAAAATGATTCAGATGCTGCAGGAGCTGCAGCAGCAGGAGCAGAGAATCCAGCTGAGGAGGATCCAGGCGCTGCAGATGATCCAGGAGCAGAGTGGCTTTGCCTGGGGAGCCCTGCTCTGCGCTGCCTTGCAGCAATGGCAGTTCTGGGTCATTGCTGCAGTCCTGGTCCTGCTCTGCGGGCTCTACTGGTGGCTCAGGAGAAGGAGTCGTCAGGCCAGCAGCAGCAAGCACAGCGGGTCCAGAAGCCTTGAGGAGGAAGAGGAGAAAGACCCATTCCATAGGGATAGGTGGGTGGACAACTACACACCGTGGCAGCTGCTAAACAGGAAAACAGCGTGCAGGGTGGTGGAAGACCTGGCGAACGAGCTTCTCCGTGTCTGCCAAAAGCTCTCCAACAAAGACTTCATGCCGCGGCTGCAGGCACCTGTCGGGTTGGGCAGCTTCCAAGTCATGGATCCCCAAGGAGACAAGCATTATGTCTATCGCCTGCTTGTGCCCCTGGAGCCACCACCCGGGCACTCCTTCCACCTGGAGCTGAGCACCGAAGGCGAGATGCCGGTGAGGAACTCCCGCCTGCGTGTGCAGTTGGAGTGCACGTGCAGTGAGGATCAGCAGCCGGGGTACATGCTCTGCTTCCTCCAATA